TATTTTTCCACTATGAACACATCAACGTTTTGGGTGCTGTGTTGATGAATGATGAAGGCCCATGCTCCACAGTCACTAGGTATCTCTTAGCTCAAGAGCATAACAGATGCAATGTTGGTGCTGTTTTTTTCAATGTTTCTTTTGAAATACAATTTTCACTGTCAAAGAACCACAAAGAACCACTTTAGCACCACTGATGTGGTGCTAAAGCCAATCCTTTGCGGGAGTAAGGACTGTTGTATGGATGATTTATATGAATTTTCAAAATGTTACAAAATAATCTAAGCTTCCTTTTTCAATGAGTTCAAAACTGGATTTTACTTGTCAACTGATGAGAAAAGAAAACCCAAAGGGGTCAGTATTTTAAATGTGATTGACTTCCACTGAGGAAATGGATGACATGATACATTACTGCAATAAGATACCTATATTTTTGTTATAAATCATACTCTTCAATTCATACTTTCCCACCTAAAAATCATGTAAATTTCTCTTGCACAGAAAACATGGTCACTTTCTAAAAAGACTACATATAAATCATTTTTAGCATATTTCCCCACTGTTTTTCTTAATATATTTAAATTAAAAATGAGGCAGACAATCTGATTATGTAGTATGTACATGTATATTATGTAACAGAAATGGTCTCAGAAATTATTTTGAGAGATAATAATAATAAAGGTATACTTTCAATTGGCACTCTTTAATTAGAATTTGCTTCTCTTCAATTATTCCTTATATCCCTTCCCACAGTCTCAACTTCTGAAAATGATTTGAGGGGACAGATGTTTGAGAGAGTTGTATGTAACTTTTTTCTTCATGTTTTATCAAGTAAATGGAAGATTCTAATTTTTCTAATTCTGTGTGGACAAATCAGAGAGTCCTTAATAAGTGTACAATGAGCTCATCTGCTTTGAGATCTTTCTCTTGTCATCACTGTGCCTTCCAGTATGCTTTTCATGTTAAAATATCAGGTTAGATTATTTTCATGATTATATACATTCATTAATTTTTTAAAGAATTTTTGAAAGACTATTACATATATTTTACTATACCATATCCACTAACATTAGTCTTTCTAAAAAATTTAACATCAAGAAACTTCTAATAAATAAAGTGTCTATTTTCATTTAAGTATCACATTCATAAAAATTTGTACAAGATTAATATTTGGTTGTAGAATATAGTGTTTTCATAAGCTAAAATTCTGAATACTATGCAGGCTGCCTATTTACTATAAATATGAATGGTTTCTGATAAGGTAAATGAATATATAGCCATAGAGAGCATCAAGTACCTTTGAATACCACATCTGTCAGCAAACAAAAGCAGATACAAGTCTAGGCCAATCAAGAAGTTTTCCTGCCTGACCAGAGTGGCTCAGTGGTTGAGCTTCAAGCTATGGACCAGGAGGTCATGGCCCAGTCAGTTGGAGCCGTGCAGGAGGCAGCCAATCTCTTATCATTGATGTTTCTATCTCTCTCTCCCTTTCCCTTCCTCTCTGAAATCAATAATATATATATATTTTTTTTTTTTTTAAAGTTTTCCTTATTTGTTTCTCACATATCCTTTCTACTCCTTTTCTCCCTCTGAGTGCCATCTTCTGTCAACAATACCAGGTTAGGCAGTATTTTCTTGCTAGCTTTCTAATTGTTCTTTGCAAATACAAATGAGGATCCACTATCAATCCAAAAGAAAGAGAAACTTTTTTGTATGTGATACAGTGATAGATTCATCCCTGATGAGAAAAATACTATAGACTTTCTTCATTTTTTGGAGTCAGGAAATAAAAGAGAGATTGTGGCTGGAATTATTTTTGTCCCATTATGTTTTTAATCCCCAGACTTGTAGATTTCAGAGAATTAAAACCATTTTCTGTGCCTATAGCTGGGGTATCCCCACTGTCCCCTTTATCATTATAACCACACAGCCAAGGGGTCCAAGAATTTCAGCTGCTTCAAGTGGCTCCAAAACCTCACACGGACCAGGCAGCAGAGTTAAGGAATATAGTTTAACTGCTCAAGGAGAATGGGTGATGGCTGTATGATGGTCTTTCCACATCACATACGACTGCATGAACACCTACAACCATTGTGACTGAGATGTCAATTCTGTGCCCTGTGGATACGCTACTAAAGTGATGTGGTGCTAAAGCCAATCCTTTGCGGGAGTAAGATGATGGGAGAGAGGAGAGGCCACTAAAAAAGAGCCCAGTTGTTAAGACATAAGAAGGTGCCTATGTGAGCTTTATGTAAATGCAGGGTCTTCGTGATGATGATTGAAATGTTATATGACGTTAAGGGAAATGTATTACATGGGGAAAACCTAAACTAAACTAAAACCATGCTTTAAGTAAAAGCAATACTAATAAAAATAAATTATGTGAATTGCTTTACATTTAAGCCTAATTACCATACAGCACGATAATGATCATATCATTATTTTTGTCAGATTAACTTTGCTCTAAATTTAATTACAGATGTGAATTCTAAATACTCAGCCCTTGTAATTTCGTGTTTTTAAAAAATTATTTATTGACCCCCTTCTACATTCCAAAAAACAAATCATATAATGGGAATAAAAACCATTAGACAATCCCTGCTCCCATGGGGCTTACGGTCATGTTGAGGAGAGAGACAAGTACTGGGCAAATGTCAAGCAGAGGAACTAACAATCAATAAATTTTTAAGTAAAGTGAAAGACAGAAGGGGGATATCAATCTCAATCCTAGGGAGTCAGGTAAGAACCAGTAGAGTTAATCAAGAGAAAGGAGAGAATGAGTTAGAAGAACTTTTAAGCAAAAGGAACAGAAAATGCACTGGCCTCAGAAATGAGATACTGTAGAGTGAGTGTGAGGAGCTGCACAGTTGGAACACAATGCAAGGGAGTCCTGAAACATGAGGTAAGTGAAATAAGAATGAACCATATCCAAAAAGGACTTCAATATCATACTAAAGAATTTGACATCGTATGGCAATGGGGAATTACCGCAGAATTTCAAAAAGAAAAATGACAAGATCAGATCTACATTTCAGATCAGATTTGGCTTTATCATGGTGAGTGAAGTAGAGCTCACACCTGGAGATATTCAGGACAGTTAGGAGCCAGTTGCAATAATTTAGGGGACAGATGCTGGTAGCTTAGATTAGGCTAATAAGGATGAAAAGAGTTAGATGGGCTTGAGAAATATACAGATAACAACTAAAATATCATAGTGATAGACTGCATATGAGAAAGGGGAGTTGGAGATGGACTTTGACTTGGGCAAATGCAAGGTGGTAGGCATGGCAATTATTGAGATACTAGAGCAGTGATGGCGAACCTCAGACACAAGAAAAATCAACCAAAAAAATGAGTTCGCGTGTCAGAGGTGACACGCGAACTCATTTTTTTGGTTGATTTTTTCTTTGTTAAATGGCATTATAAAATAAATATCAAAAATATAAGTCTTTGTTTTACTATGGTTGCAAATATCAAAAAATTTCTATATGTGACACAGCACCAGAGTTAAGTTAGGGTTTTTCAAAATGCTGACACACTGAGCTCAAAAGGTTCGCCATCACTGTACTAGAGGCCTGGTGCATCAAATTCGTGCACTCAGGGAGCGGGGTCCCTTAGCCTGGATCGCGAGAGGGTGCAGGCCAGGCCAAGGGCCCCCACCAGTGCACAATCAGGACCGGGAGGGATGTGAGAGGTTGGCCAGCCAGGGAGGGACCGCAGGAAGGCTCCAGGGCATGTCTGGCCCATCTCGTTCAGTCCCAATCAGCCGGACCCCAGCAGCAAGCTAATCTACCAGTCAGAGCATCTGCCCCCTGGTGGTCAGTGCATGTCATAGCTACTGGTCGACCAGTCGACTGTTTGCCCCCTGGTGGTCAGTGCACGTCACAGTGAGCGGTTGAGCAGCCTTAGCATATCACTAGCATATTATGCTTAGATTGGTTGAATAGATGACTGGACGACCAGACACTTGGCATATTAGGCTTTTATTATATAGGATAGAAGAGAGGAAAAGAGACAGGTTGGTGGGGTTTCTATTTTGTTTTTGTTTTGTTAATGGGTGAGGCAGAAGTTCACTAGAAATTATGAGTTCTCTCTTGACAAATTGAGTTCTGTATGTCTGAGTGACTTCCAAATAGACATCTCTGGTAGAATATTGAATATAAAGTTCTGAGACAAAGGAGAAATATCTGAGCTTAGACCCATATTTGGGAGATAGTGTCTTATATCAGTTGAAGCCATCTGATAAATAGAAAAGAGCTCTAACTAACTAACATCAGTTGCCTAAGGAAACCCAAAATTTATGGGATAAGCTAATTAAGAGCAAATTAAGAATATAAATAGAAGGAAAACATAGGATCCAAAGCTGCATTCTGGTTCAAATCCTGATGAAAGAATAAGGTGATGAAACCTAGGTTTGGGATGGTCCCAATAAGAAAACAATTTTAAACCACAGTAAAATCACTTGTGCCTTTTAAAAGACAATGCACAGTAATACAGTATTTCATTATCAGGGCAGGGGCAGAAGGAACATTCCAGCATGAGAACTGAAAGGGAAGAGATTGAGAATTACCTGGGTGCAGTCTTTGGAGGAATAAGATTGACAATTACCTGGGTGCAGTCTTTGGAGGAATAAGATTGACAATTACCTGGGTGCAGCCTCTAAAGGAGTAAGATTGAGATTTATGAGGATGCAGCCTTTGGAGGAATAAGATTGCGAATTATGTGGGTACAATCTTTGGAGGAATAAAATGGAGAATTATGAGGGTGCAGTCTTTGGAGGAATAAGATTAAGAATTTTCTGGGTACAGCCTTTTGAGGAATAAGATTGAGAATTTTCTGGGTGTAGCCTTTGGAGGAATAAGATTGAGAATTATCTGGGTGCAGTCTTTGGACATCTACATAGGAAACCTTCTATTTGGGGACTTCCTCGTGTCATGTTTTGTCACATCTATTTAAATTACATTAGAACCAAAATAAATGTTTGCATTAACAGCCCTTACCTTAAGAGTTCTATCTGTAGAACCGGCAACTTTCTCCTTTGGCTTATCCTACAGGCTGCCTTCTGAGAATCAGAAGAGAACAACCAACTTCGATCATTTGAACATGGAGCATCAACTAACACCTAGGGAAAAAGAGGATACATAATGCAAATATGTACTGAAAATACATCCTCAGACACAAAGTATATAGGGAAGCTATGTAAAACATGATCAAAAATAGCAAATAAAGACATTTCTTTTAAAGCCAAAAATACACCATGATAATTCTTCTTTATGACATTTCTTTACTAATACTTTCAACAAATTTCCTGTGCACTTTCAGTGTTTGGATTTTTGGGGAGAGAG